AGACCGATGCCATTTTGAAATCCAGGATGGCGGCTTCCGATTTAAGAAAAAGTGGGAAATACTGTCAAATACCCATCAATATGGTTTTTTTTTTAGTCGGAGTGACGTGTAGAGGCCGAAAATCAATATCCGACAACATTTTGAAATCCAAGATGGCGGCTTCCGATATCAGAAAAAGTGGGAAATACTGATGCCTGATGGGTATTTTTGGAAGTGGGGTGACACCTAGAGATTAGAAACAGATATGCGACGCCATTTTTAAATCCAAGATGGTGGCTTCCAGTTCAAGAAAATGTAGGAAATACTGTCAAATACCCATCAATATGGGTATTTTTGGAATCGGGGTGACATTTAGAGGCTGAAACGATATCCGAAGACATTTTGAAATCCAAGATGGCGGCTTCCAATTTCAGAAAAAAATGGGAAATACTGTCAAATAGCCATAAATATTAGTATTTTTGGCATCGGCATGTCATCTAGAGGCCGGGAATCGATCAACAAAACAAACAACTCTTCAATTTTCTCATACGAACGCTATGAGACAGGTACAATCGCGTCATCTGCCGCTCAAAGGTAAATGCTTCGAACGAATTTGATAGCAAAGATTACATCCTCAGAAGAAGGGTTTGTGTATTTGCTCATTTTTCTATGCGTTGCTTCCACCTTCACTCATGCGCAGCGCTTTTGTATCTGTCGCTTGGATTCTGGAAAAGTTGCCAGTCTTCTTGATTTGTTGTCTTCGCTAAAATCAATATCCGACGCTAATCCGAAATCCAAGATGGTGGGTTCCCTGTTTTCAGAAAAAGTGGGAAACACTGTCAAATACCCATCAATATTGGTATTTTTTGGGATAGGCATGTCATCTAGAGGCTAGGAATCTATATTCGACGCCATTTTTAAATCCAAGATGGCGGCTTCCAATTTCAGAAAAAGTGGAAAATACTGTCAAATACCCATCAATATGGGCAACAATCAATGCGAAACTAACGATTTTAAATTGGCTCACTACTTGACTATCCTATTGGTCCCAAGCAAACGATTAACGTATCCCATTCTAGTCGAAATTCTAGTACTACGCAATGTTTGTTTTGATTCGCTATGAAAGTTTGACAGATAAAATGAGGGGTTAGTGGATTTTCCTATGTTTCGAGGGGTGAATCGATTAGCTTGGGACCGAAGAGAGTACCAGAGCTGAGCCAAAAAGTTGAGCACGTTATTTCGGGACCTTCTAGTCTTAGAGTTACCTCTATGATATGGGTATTTTTGTAATCGGGTTAACGTTTATAGAATGAAAATCAATATCCGACGCCATTTTGAAATTCTTAAAATTTTGAAAAAGTGGGAAATTCTATCAAATATGCATACATACGGTTTTTTTTAGAATCAGCGTTATGTCTAGAAACCGATGCCATTGTGAAACCCAAGACGGCGGCTTCAGATGTGAGGAAAAGTGTCAAATACCTTAAAATATTGGAATTTTCAGAACGGAGATGACACGTAGATGCCGAAAATCGATGTCAGACGCCATCTTTAAATCACCGAGGCGAGTTCTTGTTTCAGAAAAAAAAAGTTGGAAATACTGTCAAATACCCACCAATGTGGGTATTTTCGAAATCCCAGTAACGTCTAGAGGCCTTAAACCGAGGTTTGACGCCATTTTAAAATCTAAGATGGTGGATTTTGTTCAGCAAAAGTGTGAAATACTGTCAAATACCGATCGATGTGGGTATTTTTGGAATTGGGGCGACATCTATCGATATCTGACGCTATCTTGAAATCCAAGATGGTGGCTTCCGATTTTAGAAGAAGTGTCAAATGCCCTACAAATGGCGTCGAATATCGATTTTCGGCATCAACGCGTTGTCCCCGTTCCAAAAATACCCATATATTAAGGTTATTGAATAAGGTGACGAAACTATGCTGCAGTATTCCAGTATTGACAAAATGACATCTTTGTCCTTTTTCAATAAATTGTAGCACACAAATGTTACTTCTGATCGAAATTGTTCTCAGAATAAGTTCATGTGAGCTGTGAAAAGAATATTAAGTAGAATTCCTATGTGATTCTGAGTAGAATTTTATGGGGATCGTGAGGAGAATAGGAAGTGAATTTTAAGAATAATTCCAAGAGAATTTAGGCGAGAATCCTAATTTATAGGGTGTTCTGAGGATAATTTCAAAATAAATAGGCTCAGGAGCATTCTGAAGAGAGTTTTCTAGTCTAGTCTAAAGAGGGTCTAGTATAAGAGAGGAGCGGATTAAAAACAAACTGCCTTGGCAACCTATGACTAGGTGATTTCTAGCAACACTGCCAATGCAATAATGGCACTGCTCGGGTGGTTCGTTTGGCTCAAAACCAGTCAGTCCTCTCCTCGCTTATATCAGAACCTCTCTTGTCGAGTCTTGGCTATTCTACAATACACTCAGGCAGTGCTGGCTAAAATCAAGATCAGAAAATCATCATCACCACGAAAATCACCAGTGATTTTCGACCAATATCAGCTGTAATCTTCAATTCCCATTATCAACCAGCATCAATATCAACCATGATCAAAATCATCGAAAATCATAGAGGATATGGTAAATTCTAGAGTCTGGGAGATTCCGAAATTCAAGTCAGCATTCCGCATGAAATTAAATGGTGGATTTCAACCCAAGATGGCTTCTACAAATCCAAGATGGCGGACCAAAATACAATTTCCCGGCCTCTGGAAAGCGAATATGCATCTAAACCCATGCAATATGGGTATCTAAGGTATGGGCTTGATGAGTAAAAGCGGAAAATCAACATCCGCCACCATTTTGGAACTAAAGATAGCGGACCAAAACCCAATATTCCGGCCTCCGGACAGTGAATATGCATCTAAACCTATGCAATATGGGTATCAACGGAATGGACTTGATGAGTAGAAGCGGAAAATCAACATCCTCCGCCATTTTGGAATTAAAGATGGCGGACCAAAATACAATTTGCCGGCCTCCGGACAGCGAATATGCATCTAAACCCATGCAATATGGGTATCTAAGGTATGGGCTTGATGAGTAAAAGCGCAAAATCAACATTCGCAGCCATTTTGGAATTCAAGATGGCGGACCAAAATCCAATATGCCGGCCTCCTGGCACCGAATATGCATCTAAGCCCATGCAATATGGGTATCTATGGAATGGGCTTGATGAGTAGAAGCGGAAAATCAACATCCGCCGCCATTTTGGAATTCAAGATGGCGGACCAAAATCCAATATACCGGCCTTCGGACAGCGAATATGCATCTAAACCCATGCAATATGGGTATCTACGGAATGGGCTTGATGAGTAGAAGCGGAAACTCAACATCCACCGCCATTTTGGAATTCAAGATGGCGAACCAAAATCCAATATGTCGGCCTCCGGACAGCGAATATGCATCTAAACCCATGCAATATGGGTATCTACGAAATGGGCTTGATGAGTAGAAGCGGAAATCAACATCCGCCCCCATTTTGGAATTCAAGATTGCGGACCAAAAACCAATATGGCAGCCTCTAAACAGTACATATGCATCTAAACCCATGCAATATGGGTATCTACAGAATGCAAAGTTACTGATATTCACTTCATTTCTCTTGTATTCGTTCATCGTGTGCGACGGTACTCGAAGCATCAGTATCTCAGCAAAACTCTTGAATGATGTGGATGCCCACATAAAAGCAAATCGCAAAGAATGCTCGGTGAGTGAGGAGTGTGCGTGCCGATGCACCACTCAAACCTTCGGAATGCGTGCTCTTCTTCTCTTCATCGTTCGCATCGCGACGTTGGAGGGCGTTCTTCGTATGCTTTAGTCTTCATGACGATGCGAATGGTTTTTCGCATCAACGCGATGCTCATGCTTTGATCCTCACGAAGAATATTTGAATATGCTCTAATGATGTCGCACGAAGCGTATTGGCACTGACAACGGGAAGCTAACGAGCTTTCTCTAACGATGTTTCTCATTAATGTTTGTGTGAATGAAACAAGAAATATTCCCTTTTGAACTTACTAACGCAAACCCACTATCAAAATCAAGACACTCGTCATTACAAGCAACCACACAAAGCCTCGTTCAATGATGCTCTTCATGATGAAGAGGATCAATCCGGGTGTATTCTTCTACGAGGTGCATCGCTCGCGAAGAACGATTGTTGGGATCGTGTTGCTGGAAATTTGAGAGTGAGTGACCCATGCTCAATAGGTGCATGTGGTCACTCAGCGAATGAAGGGAAGGGTGGGAGGAACAAAATCACACGAATTGCTTCGTCAATATAAGCGATCGCACACTAAGAATGAACTGCACACGCATTGCTGCTGATCTTCTACCGCGATGGGAAAATAATCCGATCATCGCTTCAGTGCGATAATCAGTAACCTTGACAGAATGGGCTTGATGAGTAGAAGCCAAAAATCAACATCCGACGCCATTTTGGAATTCAAGATGGCGAACCAAAATCCAATATGTCAGCCTCCGGACAGCGAATATGCATCTAAACCCATGCAATATGGGTATCTACGGAACGGGCTTGATGAGTAGAAGCGGAAAATCAACATCCGCCGCCATTTTGGAATTCAAGATGGCGGACCAAAATTCAATATACCGGCCTTCGGACAGCGAATATACATCTAAACCCATGAAATATGGGTATCTACAGAATGGGGTTCATGAGTAAAAGCGGAACCTCAACATCTACCGCCATTTTGGAATTCAAGATGGCGAACCAAAATCCAATATGTCAGCCTCCGGACAGCGAATATGCATCTAAACCCATGCAATATGGGTATCTACGGAATGAGCTTGATGATTTGATTTTGATTTTTCACATAATAAAATAATTAAAAAAAAATGATTTTTATGCCATTTGTATGTACAGCATGCTTATAGTCCATATAAACATATTTTAAAAATTTCTGTATTTACACCAAAAATTGTGATGTTGATTGACTTTACCAAGAACGTCCACTGACTAACGATTCCCTAATTTCCAGGACCTGGTGCATCTCCAGCGAGAACATCGTCCGCTTCACGGTCAGCAGCCGACCGGCGACCGTCGTACCCACAACCGGCAGCGACAAGGAAGCATCGGACAATCGACGGCATGCCATCCGTTCCTACATGTAGTTAGTGGGGCCGCACGGTACCCATCATCAACGTCGCGTGACGACTTCAGAAAGCAGCACATATCACCTCGACCGAAATTGAGTACCTGGTCGCGATTACCGAAATTTGTTCGAAAGTAGAACGACAGTTCGCTGTCGATGTCGGAACGACATGAACAAGTGCACTTTTAGTAGGCTTATCGAGGTCAAGTCCTGTCGCTTTGCACGTTTGCATTTGTAGGGTTTCTTATTTTCCAACATAATGTGATGGCACATGTCAAATTGAAATGTATGTCAGTGGCAATAACGAACGAGTACTGCTTACGTAATGAGCGCTCGACTTTGCCCGGTGTAGAATAAGGATACTCCGCTTCGCCGCTTTTTTTTTTCGAATATAGGTAGATTAAGATAATCCGATAGCAAGTGATAGTTTAAACAGAGATGTAGTGTGAAAGCACCAAATGTAGAATGTAATGGAGAAATTAACACTGTGTAACGACCTTCCGTTCTTTCGTCCACATATCACACTCCCTCGTGCTTCTTGGTCATACAAAACGAACAGCGGCAAATGCTGGCTCCGTGTAGTTGCCGATGAAGCGACATAGAATAGGGTAGTTAATATGCAAAACCACATTCGAGTGAGACCGGACCGGAGCTCGGCAGGTTGCGAAAAGTATACATTGGGGAAAGTGGGGCAGTTTGGTCACCTTAAACAATTCGAATGAGTTCTAACCAAATTTACATTATGAATACAAATTGAATGTTAAAAGTAAACGTTTCTGTTCATTTGAGGCTTTATGAAGGATCAATAATGAACAGTTTTATCATAGCAAGATTTAAATGAAACAATTATTTTTTGTAGAATAAATTAAAATTAAGAAGTACTGCGGCGTATTTAAGGGTATACTTTTCAGTTTAATGAATGACTGATTGATTACCAAAGCAGCTGCTTCAAAACGTGCTTTCCTGTGATACAGTTACATTAAAAAAAATAATTAATTCAAAATTGAAGAATTTAAGTAGAACACTTTTGAAATATCAGGGGTGCTCATATTGCTCCGAATGGACTTCAGTAATATTTTGATAAGACAAACTTTAATGTTTGTTGAAAACTAGAAAAACATCATGTCATACAAGAAACCAATGACCATTAATATAGCTGCTGAAGGAATATTAACGATAAGTTGTTTTTGGAGCGGGTGGCCACATTGACCCGCTTTCCCCTACACACAAACAGGCTGCAAGATAGTTTGCGCTTTTGCTGAAGGTCGGAAGTACATATAGCACCACGACGAACCTCAAGGTTAGTCCAAGGAGCGTGTGTTTAAATACCTGTTGGTTGGTTCACCGGAATGAATTTATTTTATCACGCCTAAATCAGTTACAGTGCACATGATCTGGTTGGTTCGCTGTGCGATAGCAACTCAATTAGTCCCGTAAGAATGAATATACGTGCATTGTGGTACGGTGTGCACTTTAAGAAAGGTGAGTCCACTGAATGCTGGAATGTGTATCGAATAAGAAATGCTACCGTAAAGTTGCAGCCCGAACAAAAATTTAGATTCATACGATTTTCTATTGATCAGTGTGTTCATAAAGAAGTCAACTTTTACTTCAATTCACTGCAAGCTGGTGGTCACTTGTGTTGAATTTAAATTTCCGGCTTTTTTCCCGGTTGTCTAACATAATTTTCCCGGCTTTATGGATAAAACTAAATATGGTAAATATACCTTAAGTAACATTTTATGTTTTATCGATGTTCGACAAGAGCAAGGTGACCAGGAAATTTTGATTATCAATTTTCCTGGTTACAATCAAAGAGGTTACTGTGCCACATGGATCATTACTACGACAGCCACCTTTGTCCTTAGGTCGAGTCAGGCGTAGTGATCTGACTGGTTGCATACTAATTCGATAATCCATTTATTCTTGTATTTTGACGTAGGACTACGTCTGTGATTTCTATATGGGGGTACACTTTGTGAAAACTGAAAATGGAACATGTAACAAAGTTATGAAAGGTTTTGAACGTTAATAACTCAGCTTCCCCTGAACCAATTTCAATAATTTTAACACCAATCGATCAGAAATATTTCTACGCATCTGTGAAATTTAGGAATTTACCATTTTTCAAAATATCATGTGCAACTGTTGCTATGATAATTAAAATTATCACCGATTGCCTGCGAAAAGCGATTTCCCTATCACAGATTTCAAAGTTGAATTCCATTCGGTCTCACCAAACGGAGTTTATTCGTGCTCTTCGTGAATCGCTGTGGGCTATCTATGTCAAGCGCGTCATACTCAAGAGTATAAACAGAGAGAACACCGCTCATATTCATATTCCCACACAAAACACAAGCTCCTACTGCAGATAACAAATAAGTAGTCCTGCGTCACCACTGCTTACAACCCCATAGGGTTGTCCCTTGTATTTTTTTTTATTCGGATGAAAATTTGCAGAAACGTTCCTTCTGTCCAAAAAGTCCATTTCAATCGTCAAATCGCAATTTTGAATCAAGCCTTATTTTTGAAAAGGCCTAGCTCATCTTCGGAAAACTGTTGCTTGAAAATGGTTTGTACGATCGGTTTTGTGCCTTGGGCAATGGATACACAATGCCATTTATTGCACTACAGATCATGATGGAAGCATGGTGGACAAACAAGTTATGACTGTTTTAAAAACTTAAGTTATTATTAATTTTTTTGTCGACTTGATATAATGAACATCAAATTTACAGTAAAAAAGCACTTTCTTAAAATATTTCTAAGTGGCACCGTTTTCGAGATGTAGAGGTTTGAATATTAACTTTTAGAAAATATTGGTAATATTTGGCCCTTTTCGAATGTATTTTGCGATTCTCCAGTTCTAAGAATATTTTTTCCCGGCAGATCAGAACATTTTCAATGAAAATGTTTTTGACGATTATATCAATGAATATAATATGATCAGTAATTTCGAAATTTGCAGGTGCTAAGCAAGTAACTAAAGGCTCTGACTAAAAGTAAATTGGTACGCACAAAAATACCTGTAATTCGTGATTCAGTCAGAGGCGTCGCGTGCCTCATTTGTTTACATGTGCACCAAACTTTGTTCGTTGTAGTTTACCACCACATATTAGATTTTGTTTTTTTTTTCTTTCAATTCTCCATGAATTCGAGGGACATATTCTTAATTACTATATTAATCACTACCTAACGTAACATTTGAAGGGCCTACCATCTTGTGTAAACAAAACTTGTATGGTTCTTTTCGCGCTAACCGAAGTAGGAGGAATTGCAAAACTTAACAGATTCTCGTTTTTATCACAAGGCTAACTCTTTCGACTGAAGACTGTAATAAAGAACATCCGTCAAACACTTGCGAAAACATTTTTTGGTACAAAACAGTTTCAAAATCTAACGGCGCCGGTGGTGTAGTGGTAAGCGTGATTACCTCTCACCCCAGTAGGCCTGGGTTCAATCCCAGTCGGCGCCGCCGGGATGTTCTGAGGCATAACATCTCTGATCACGCCTTCCTTCGGATGGGAAGTAAAGCCGTTGGCCCCCGGTTCATGAGTTGATGGGTCGATAGGTAGGTTCCAGGTGTGGGAGCTGCCTTCCTGGCACGTCGGTAGCATTGGTGCTCAGCACGGAAAACAAGATCGACGGAAAAAACAAACCAAAGGAAAAAAAAAAGAAATTTTACTGCCTTCACATATGTTCGCAGATGAGGAAGCATATCTAGAGCTCGTTCTGCTACTCGCTGGTTTTCCACCTACCTGACTCCGCAAAATTTGAGCGGCAATATGGTGCTACTAGTAACTGCTATAAAGTCAGCACATCTTAGGGGAACGTCTTTTAGCAGGTAGTACAACGACATCAGAAACTGATCGATCTTCCAGTCCGTTTTCTGCATACCGCTCTTGAACGAATTATGCACTACATGAAGACCGCAACTGCCAATGCTGAGTAGATTGAAGGAACTGCTCTCACGCATCTGTTGCAATTCGGAGGACAGATCGTTAAGGAGTCGCCAGTTCACGTTGGGTCCATCCATAGACACCTGAATAACTTTTTTCAACAGTCCGGGATATGCTTCGAAACACTTCTTGATCCCACTCATCAAGTCAATCGCTCGTGTCGATGATAGGAAAGCTGAGCCTACATATCTTGTCTGTACTTCCTGCTTGTCTTCATCCCAAAAATGAATGCTTACATCAAGTTGCTGCCGTTGTGCAATTTTGTTCAGTGTTTCGTCGAATCCAAGGACGACCTCGGAGCAACTTTCAACTTTGGTCAGTAAGATCTTCTTGAAGTAAGGTGCCAGACCATGTGTGATGAAATAACCAACTTTGGTGCGGCTCATCTCCATCTTCGAAGCAATTTGGCTGTCAGGAAACATCTGGTACCTGCACTACGGTATGAACCATGGGTGGCCACAGTTTCAAGTGCCCATAAAATTTCAGCGGACGTCACCGAATCGTTTAAAAATACTTTTTCATGACAGCCTGATTGGCGCCTACTGCCACTTCAGATGATGTTGAAGCATTTGTCTGAATTGGATCGACCAAGGTAGTTGGGATCGACAGTCAAACTTGAAGTTGAAGATATGATTTTATCATTTGTTGAACGATCTGAAATTTGAGATAGAAGATCAGTATTCAATTCATACAATTCTTGTATTAAAGTCTCAGCACATGATGAACTTGATTCGTTAGCAACCAAAACAATAATCGAAGCTTCGTTGCAAGTTTCAGTGCATTGTGGTATAATCAAGCGTGTTATTTCGGAGCTTACCATTCGTTCCAAATAAGCTGCTGATCGGCAAATTTGAGCGACGTGCTGCAGCCTGATGCTGATGGCCTTTGCTTTTTTCATGACTCCCAAAGGTCACCCTTCCCATCGTATCAATTTTGAATGATTTATTGCACCAGGTTTATCGAGCAGCAGTCGGTACTTTGGGATCCGGCGCGCTCCATGGATAATCCTTCTCATACCTCGTCGAATATTTTGTAGTCATGGTTATTTGCTCCAACTTTCTCAAATTTCACTACTCTTATTTGATAGTTTTACACTTATAAACACAGATGGAAAACGCGTCTCACTTTTTTCAATGCAAATGCGGTTTTGAACAGGCCAATGCTCGCGAAATGAATGAAAAAAACACGAAGCTTTTTCATCGACGAAGGTTGATAGCTCGTCGTCGGGTCGGTACGTTTCAGAACATACCAATACATGCGAAGAGCCGAACGTGAGGTGAACGAAAAAGCTTTTAAAAGAGAATGTCGAACGAACCCGATCGTCCAACTTTGCTGAATCTTTTTCAGACGCTTGATCGCCGTCGAAAAAAAAAAGCTTTAAGCCGCTTAATGTCGTTCGTTTTTGTTCTGGAGTAACAGCAGATCTGTACTACCGTACACCCAAATTTTTCAGGGTGTAGCTGTTTGGTGCATGTTTGTTTATAAACGAATGATGCTGAGCTGTCAATAGCTCGCACTTGTTGGCGCTCAGTGTTAGGTACACCTCGAAAACGGAATCGGTGTAAGAGAATAAAAGCTGCCATCGCCAGCCAACATCAAGGTGGGACTGATTAGCATTTTAGAATTATATTGAGCAAGTTGGACTGAGAAAGAGTGTGAACTTGTACATATGCAATTAAATTAAAATAAAATATATAATTTGATTTTTCCCGGTTTTGTTTCGGAATTCCCGGTTTTTTCCCGGTTTTCCCGGTCCAT